TTTGATATAAATGATTTCAAATTTAAACGATTGATTTATTAACATCAAATTTCTATATAAACAATGTGGTTCAGAGTTAAAGGGCTTAGTTAGCACAAGGTGAGCCTAATTCAAACAAATTTCAAATTGCATGTCAAAAATGAAAAAAAATTGCTATGATAAACAATAAAATTGATGCATAGCATATCATAAAACATCATCTGGGTGATGCAACACAGTTCAGCTGGGTAGTCATCCAGTTGACTCAAGAGAAGTGTGGCTGCTACCGGGCTGTGTGTATGCCATGACGTCACATTGGGGGATTGAGTCAGGGAGCACACAGTTAGAGCCCATTACCTCTACATATACATTCACTTCACACCCATTCTCTTCATTTTTCTTATTTTATAGTTATATATTATATTTTCCTTATTTCTGAGCCACATTAGTGTGTTGTAACAATTTTTCCACAACTTTTATAGTTTCACTGCCTGTAATGATGGCAACATGCGATCTCACAGGCCACCTCATGCCCAATTGTTTTCCCTTCCTAGTGACTCAAGCTATCGCTAAACAAAATTTTGACTTAGCGTTAAGATGGAATGGGTGTCAAAATTCTTTTATCACTCAACTGAATTAATGTTAAGTGAATTTATATTAAACGAGGGATACCTGTACAGTACGTATACAGCATATATAGTTTGTATATATATATATATATATATATATATATATATATAATATATATATATATATATATATATATATATATATATATATATTATATATACTAATGCAGTACTAAATTTAGCATGTTCTTACAGGAGGGTTACCTTATATATTTTTAGTTCCACAAACATACTCGTAATCAGCTTAGCTCAAAAGATGATTTTTGGGGGGGGGGGGTTTAAAAAAAACAATTTGAGTAACAACATGAAGAGTTCTGGGGTGTCACTTCAGTTTTAGAGCAGCAAGGACAAGAAAAGAAAAGATACTTTAGGTAGTGAAAAAAGTTCTTTATACCTTGCAAGACTATTGTGTTTGTAGTTTTATTTGAGAATATGGAAATCATGAATGTCAAAAATTGTATTTGAAGCTCAGATTTTCAAGTCTGAAGACAAGACATTTTTCCTCAACCCTAAAGTGGTAATTTTTCAACACTTAAGAGACAGTCAAAAACCAAAATCTCATTATTTTTATAATAAGCAACAAAAATAGAGCTGTTATACCTTTCAAAAAATATCAATCTAATGTACAAATACAAACATATTCATAAAATCATTATTTTAAATTCCAGCATTCAGACAGGGTCTCCAATTAGCTGCACTTCTCTGCAACCTTTCCATTGTATATTTCTGGAGTAGATTATCATAAAGACTATACAGTATTGAGAATCAACAAAGACATCACAATATATTTACCAAGGAAGTTAAATTCCCCAACATTCACACATGCAAAACTTATAAAAAAAAATTGTGTTAAAAATGGTTTGGGATTCTACCTTAACAATTCACAAATACTGGTTATAGCTACCCAATAGGCATCAGAAATATAAAGGAGATATCTTGTCATTCTCAAGCACTTACATTAAGTAGTGTATGCTCATATGATCGAATAGTATTGCCTCGTCTTAAAATAAATGGTGATTATAAATATGATTAAAATTTGTCACTGCCTTTTTAATAACATTTTCAGTAAGAATGGAATATATAAAAGCTGTGATAAGTATCAAGGATATTCTTCCAAACCTGCAAGAAACAAAGATTATACAGTGGTATATCTAAACTTTGTAAATTCTGTAAGCATGGTTAATGACTGAATTAGTCTTAGTACAAATATTGTAATATAAAAGATCACACAGAACTAGGTTGGATTCTTCCACTATTATTCAAAAAGTAAGGCAGCTTGCTTGACATTATAGGTAATGGAGCAACAATAGCGATGGTGAGTGTGCCAAGTCATAGTATACATGTCACAAGCATGTTTGTGTGTACATCACCATCAGCATACATAATATACTGACGTCAATGAATAATGTGTAATATGTCACAAACAAGAAATTGAGTATGTCAAGTAAAAGAGGGACCACAGATTAGACCATCAACAGGACAGAGGTCCTCTTTACATTTCATGTACTGTACAGACTTTGTAAAGCACAACTGTTTGGCTGCAGCTTGTGACTAGAAAAGCATTGTACTAACAGTTCACTGCAAGAGAAGCAAATGCAGAGCTTACATAACTTTTATGATTTTCTCAACTTCCCTTTGTTGAAAATGTGGATATTTGTGTATCCATGGTATTCATGTCAAACTATGTGAATCCCAACAATTGGCAAGGTACTTGTATCTCAAAATGTAGGTTTTCATGATAATCATAACTAAAAGCCGTAAATAATGGCTTTCATAAGCTGCAACAATGTATATAAGGCATGGCAAAGCTCCTTTACTTCTATTGGGATCTGTAATAGTTTTTGGCATATATATATATATATATATATATATATATATATATATATATATATATATATATATATATATATATATATATATATATATATATATATATATATATATATATATATATATATATATATGCACACACACACACACTGAACCCTCACTAATTTGATATCATCCAATTTCTGGGTTGATTGAACTACTGTACAGTTAGTAAAAAATTTCAGAAACATAGAATTAAAGTAATATCTCCGTTAGTAAGAATTCCAATAGCTGGAATTTTTTGGAAAATTCCGAGAAAATATTCCCGACATCCAGAAGATTCAGGGGATGAGGGATTTTTTTTCCCCAGGGGTTAGAGAGATGAAATCAGGCGCATTTTCTGGAACTTCCGCGAACATTTTTCCATTACCCGGAAAATTCCGGGGATGAGGGATTTTTTCCGGCTTTGAGAGTGTTGTCTCATTACACGGAAATCTCTCATTCCCAGAAGTGCCTGCACCAATTGTTCTGGCAAACAGAGATATCACTGTAGTCTCGATAATTTGTCAAATACAAATTTATGTTCTAAAATTAAAGGGTGCCTCTATTACCTGTACTACATTTGTTTAAATACGGCAGTGAAATATTCATAATTGTCTTAGACTGGTTTAATTTCTGCATTATGTTTATTTACTGTATGTTCAAGATAGTTAAAAAGGTTTATTGTTGTGTTATTGTCTGTATTTGTTACATTGTCGAGTCAAGATTTTGTGTAGAAAACTGTTTATTTGTAAAATGGGTTAAGGGAAAATTGTGTTTAATATACAGGGGATCCCCAGGTTACAAACGGGTTAGGTTCCTGAGGAAGTTCATTAATCGGATTTGTACGTAGGTCGGAACACATACTATATGCATACCATACTTACAAAACAATATCCAAAATCCCAATATCTCATAGCCTAAGCCCTTATATACATCTAAAATCACTTAATTTAAGTGAAAAGAAGAAATAGAATGACAAAATACAGTAAATGAAAGTGAAAAAAATAGTCATCAGGTAAATAGAATACTGTAAATTTCACGTTTAACCCCGTTCGTATCAGCGTGTGTTCATAAGTTGGACATTTGTAAGTCGGAGACCTCCTGTATGGAATTTTGTTTTACGACCTAACCCTTCCGTATATCAAAAGATGACTGTATTAAAGGTTCTCTAATATACACTGTACGTAGTTTCTCATATTCTAAAAATTGTAAGGAAAATTTCAAATTACATACTTATCGAGAACCTTTCAAATGCATAGAAATGCATCTTATACAGTATGTAAATGTACTGTACAGTAAAACAATTCCTGCATTTATTAAATGGTTAGTCATGAGTAGTAAAAACAGGAGAAAGTTTAATTTCGTGTTCTTTTTTTTATTAATAATTTACTCCATTTGTTAGTTTATTAGCTGATTGGGTGTTTTTTTTTCTCTGCTATTACCAACATTGTCCAGTGTTAGAGACATAAAGAAACCTTACAAAGTTTGGTAGTCACACTGCATAAAACCCTTTTAACATCTGACCTGAGGATCATACCTGGGACACAGTGGTGAGAAGCTAGCTGAGGCAGGGTAATCTGTGGTGGAGGGGTGGTCGGTTGACAAATGACCATGAAATGGCGATTATGTACACACCTTTCAATTGTATTTTATATTGCATTTCACATACTGTACCGGTATATATTTTTGTATGTACAGTTTTTCATACTATCTTCATAAATTTTTAATTGTTTCTGTATGAAAATTTTGTTTCTGAGAAGCATGAGAATAAGAATTATTCAAAATTATTTGAAGACATCTGTATCGACAAAAATAACAAAACGCCCAAAATTTTGGATTAGTGAGGGTTCGGTTTATATATATATATATATATATATATATATATATATATATATATATATATATATATATATATATATATATATATATATATATATATATATATATATATATATATATATATATATATATACATATATATATATATATATAATGTGTACAAAACAGATACTGAATAAGTTGAAAAGCAAGAGCAATGACATCAATGCATATTCAATTTTCAGTACAGTAGACTTCCCCTACATTTTCAACTTGAGAACAGATTCATGATGCACTGTACTGTATATCAGTAACTTGTGTAAGTATTCCTCTCGTAAAGAGAAACACTCACACACACTGCCGTCAAAATATATTAAAAGAAAATAATATTTAAATTATAAAATAATACAAGTACATACAGTACAATTACCTAATATCCATTAACGTTACCTACATTACCATACTAATCTGCAACACTAGTGACCTGTCCTTTGTCTTTCTTGTGTATACAGCTGCCTATTGACTAATAAATAATTTCCTTCAGCATGAGGTAAAGACAAAATATAAATAACTTGTGACTAGAGAATACTGTATTTGGCATTATAATGAAAAATATTTGTAAATTTTAGTCAAAGAATTAATGGCTTTGATAATATTACTATTGCTATGGACTAGGATCATTTAAAATTTCATACTGTTATTATGACTTACCATTTTTTTTTCTGCCATAAATATTTGTTGGGGTTCACCTTGGTTTCTGACCTGCAATTATTGTGAGATCAGTGAGCACCGATGATAAAAGGGCATTAGCATAATGCTGTATAGCACGGGGTGCGGGGCGTAAACCGGGACATAAGGTAGAGTGAAGTACTAGAGCAGGATGGGGACAAGGGGGTCAGGAGGCAGTGGTGCGGGGAGTATGTGGCCTTGTAACTGGTAAGGAGGACGGTCTTGGCGGGCCTTGGCAAGCAGTTTGTCGACCACCTTCAGATTGATTGCCTGAATGACTTCCAGACAGACTTCCAGAAAGGGATGACTGACTTGATTCAGAGAGTTCAGCTTCATCACGACCAGTCGTATCTGCTTCTCCACCCTCAGTTGAATCAACGGAAAGAGTAGATGCATCAAGAGCAGTTGCATTAAGATCAGCTGATGCCACTGAAGCCATGGAGTTAACCATTTCTGGGTTCATAAATTGATCCAACTGAGGTGGCTGCTTTTGACAAGCTACTGGAGTTCCATCTGAACCATCACTAGATGGATCCCTACAACTGTTATCATCACTACGAACCTTTGTACTACCATCACCGCAACCACCAGCTACAGCACCATTTCCTTCACCGCAAACCGTATTATCTTTACGACTGGATGGAGATTTCACAATTGAAGTGGTGAGGGCACGAATTGAATGTGTAAGTGAGGTTACTGATTCACTGAGAGGAACGGGAACTGTTGCAGCACTCTGGGATGGTGGTGAATCAACTGCTCCTGGTGATCTCTCATGACCTGATCCACTAGACTGGGACATAGTGAGAAGTGACTGTGATCCTGGTAGATTACAAAATGCATTCATCACTTGTGTAACCATTGACAGTGATTCCTGAAGTTGTCCCACCTGAAATTACAGAAATTAAAATAAATTAAAACAAAGATTATATAAATGTCAATTTTAAGATGAAAATTTAAGTTACACAGATCATTTCTCCGTACTGTACATTAAAAAAAAAACTAAAATAGATTCTTACAACCAAACAATCATGAAAGTGATGTATGTATTATTCCTGTAAGATTTATACTGTATACCAAACTGGGACCATAACTCAAGTTAATCTAGTAGCAAGATCCTCAGTAACATAAAAAAGGAGAAGGTTTACTGTATTTCTTAAATAACAAATTAAAGAAATCATCACTGTTTGCATACTTTAAATAAAAAAGGGAAATACTGGAGCACCTTAGCTTTTGTCTTTATTCAAGACATCTTCAGGCAACTGAATTTACAACAACTGAGAGATGAGCTTAATATACAAAGGGAGACTTTGGTCCCTAACCCTGATATATTTTGGGGATCCTGTACTAAATTACAACAGTTAGTTACAAAATTACAGTACAGTAATCATACCTTATAATGGAATTACTTTTAGTGGAACGAATTTGTGTCAGTGTTTGCTTCTCCATCTAGTGGAGCTTTCTACTAAATGAAGAAAGTTTCCAGTAATGCCTACGTGGGCTCACAATATTGTTTTGGCACGATAAGTAAGTTTCCCACTGCGCCGCACCACACATTGTTGTGGTCTCCCAGAATTTTTTTGTATTCTCCTAGCATGTGTGCGCATACGTCATTGCTTTAAATCACTTTAACATATCTAACAACACATCTAATGTTATTGCTGTCTGTTCAATTTTGAAACTTTTACAATTCTGAGGTTAAGTTTTATAGTGACCCCTGAGAAACATACCTAAAGTTCTATAATGTACTGTACAAATGAAGGTAAAAAAAAATAATGTGAGTACAGTATGCCATAATTAAAAATAAAATTATTATACTACAGGGTATATAAAAATACTATACAATGCACTGTGCAGGTATCATACCCATTGTAAAAAAAACAGTGTAGTGGAGCAATTTCCCCTGTCTCCCCAGACTTAGTCTTGACATTCATCCAAGCAACACAAATACCTGTATGTAGATGAAGTTTTTAAACCCTACATGTTCACATACATAAATGTATCTTTGAAAAACAAAATATATTTTCCAAGATTTTAGTTTTTTGATGTGGGTATTACACACTAGGGCATACACAAGCTTGTAAGAACTGGATGTACCAGTAGGTTCATATCTGCTCTGTATGTCTGCCAGCCTCCTGCATGTCTTGGTTCACCCAAAGTAGTATTGTACACTTGTAGCTATACAACTTGATTTTGAGTTTATTTCTTGCATTTTTTCATTTTATTTTCTTCTATTAGACTGATTTATTATCATAATTTAATTTAAGGTTGATGGCATAGAAAAATTTAAAATATATTATCCATATCAAGTTTTCAAAGAAATATTCAGTTAGAAAAAGTTGTAATAATGTATATTCTAGATAATTAACTTCCCTTCATTTTGTATATATATATATATATATATATATATATATATATATATATATATATATATATATATATATATATATATATATATATATATATATATATATATATATATATATATATATATATATATATATATATATATATATATAAAGCACATGGGTGCACAGAGCAATTGAGAAAATGAAGAATGGGAAAGCAGCTGGAAGCTCTGGGATACTGTAGTTGCAGAAATGCTGAAAGCATTAGGTGATGTAGGAACATCAATGGCGACTGAATTGACTACCCGGTAATGTAATCATGATGGAATGCACTAATCCAGATGACTGGAGGAGTATGATTGTGATTACTTATAAGGGTACATGTGATACATTTGAACGCATGAACTACAGGGGCCTGAAGCTTCTAATTCAGGTTATAAAATCTGTAGAAAGAGGGGGACTACAGAGGCAATATTTATGGCCAGGCAGCTACAAGAGAAGTATTTTGAGAAAGAGAGAAAATTTTACTACATATTTGTAGACTTGGAGAAGGCATTTCACAGGATACCACATGAAGTAGTGGGCAATCAAGAAAGCTAGGAGTCGAGGAGTGTCTTGTTCGAGAGGTTATGGCATTATATAAGTGCTCAAAAACCTCTGTGAGAGTAAATGGGGAGGAAAGTGAGGAATTTGAAGTAAAAAAAAAAGGAATCCAATAGGGTCTGTCTTGAGTCCTCTTCTATTTATCATGGTGCTGGAGACAATATCACAGGACTTTAGTAATGGCCTGCCCAGGTAGTTGCTGTATACTTATGACTTACAGTAGCATTGATTGTTGATAGTATTGAAGAAGCAGTGGAGAAATTTAAGAAATGGAAGGATAGATATGAGGCAAAGGGCCTGAGAGTGAATGTGGCAAAAATAAAAGTATTGATCTGTGGGGTGGGAGAGGGAACCACGGTGGAATGTGGAAAATGACCATGTAATGTCTGGAAGGAAGGTATTCGCAGCAATTCAATAATGTTTAATGAGTGTGTAAGGTGGGTACACAAGAGGTGCAGTGGAGTAGATGTGGGACATTGCTGACTTTAAGTGTTCTGTATGTGCAAGTAACCATGTGCCCACAGCAAGGCTGAAGAAACTGAACATTGGGAATATGTCCCTGGACTGCATCAATGAGTTCAGTTACCTGGGTGGCACGATCGGTGCTGATGGGCGTGCTGAAGCCTGCTCAGTTGCAAGAGTCAGAAGTGGCTGGAGGGAGTTTAGGGAGCTGCTGCCTTTATTGATGGTAAGAGGACCTTCCCTCTGAGTGAAAGGAAGAATGTATGCGGCTGGTGTGAGAAGTGTAATGTTGTATGGCAGTGACACATGGTCAGTTAACCCGTACGTTGGCGCAAGATATTATAATTAAATGACACGTCAGCGCTGGCCAAAATAAAAAATTCTTGCAGAAATCACCTCATCATGGTAAAAAATTTTTTATAAAACATAAAAAAAATTCTACTTGCTGAGCTCTGGCAATCTAAATAATGGACCCTCTTGGGCGTGACCTTCGTCTGTCACCATGGGAATGACTCACACTGAGAGTCACCCCAGAGTGCAATTCATTGCACCTTCTTTGTATTGTATATATTCTCGGCCACACTGCGTGATCTATTTTTAGCCCACAACACCTAACGGTATATTGCAGTGGTCACAGTGACACTTGTTATATACTGTACATTATTATTGTATATCAGGAAGTCTACATAACTGTTATTGTTAATATTGGGAAAGCAACACACACACACATTAGTCAGTTGGGCAGTGATGTAAATTTACGAGTATTGGGGCATGTTTGAGTATATGTGGGTGTGTAGAATGCTATATAATGATTTTCCACATACTATTGTTGTTATCGATGATTGAATATTATTGTAATTTATCACATTTCCCAATCAATAACGTGTAATATTTGCAACATGTCGTGAATACACATATCATACTTAATGTTTTGTAGGTACATGCGGGCATTTGTAAAGCACTCATTCCACTTAGAACATTTATTACATTTACCTATTGTATTATCTGTATTTATTCATCATTCTAAACTACTTTTCCGCTCTTTCAAGTGAAACTGTGGACTTGTCGATGTACACAATAATGAATTGTGAGAGGAAGAGTTGAGGTGGAAAAAGGGTGTGGTGCAGTATTGAGAAGGTGAGGTGAGGTGTTGAGAGGGTGTGGTGCAGTGTTGAGGGGGTGAGGTGAGGTGGTGACGAGGTATGGTGGCTGGTGGTGAGAGTGGTGTAGGTAGGTCAGAATCGGCTGACAAAGTTACACGGGTAGTGGTCACACGTGAGGGTAATGACTCACCCCCAATGCTCCTGAAGCATGGTCCTGTAATGTGTGGCAGCATTGCCAGGCTGAAAGTTTTGCTAAATCATAGGCCTAGAGGTGCTTGAAACACTGCTTAAAAATCAAGCTACTTGTAATGCGTGTGAGGTACTGGAAACATTTCATCACGGATATATCCATGATTGGCACCAGCCGACTCCTATTGTTTATCACAGATACCTATATACATGATTGATGGCCAGCGGGTTAAAGAGGATGATACAAGTAGACTTGAGTGAGCTGAAATGAGAATGGTGAGGTGGATGTGTAATGTAACACTGAAAGACAGGAGACAATGTTCAGAGGTAAGAGGATGACTGGGCATTTAGAGTATTTGTGAAGTCCTGTGTGGAGGCAGGTTGAGATGATTTGGGCATGTGGAGGAATTAGACGAGACCAATTAGGTTAAAGAGGTGCATGAGCCTAAATGTGGAGGGGAGGAGAGCCAGGGGTAGGCCAAGAATGACATGGGGAGATCATGGAGATGTTGTAACAAATTAAATTAGAGCTAGGAACCTGACAAGACTCTTCACAAGAGACTGTGGAGCATGGAGAGTTGTCATGAGGTAATCGCGACTAACCCACGCAACTGTGGATAATGGAACCGTGAGTAACCCACGCAAGTGTGGATAATGGAATCGCAACTAACCCACGCAAGTGTGGATAATGGAACCGAGATAATTCACGATATAGAAGAAAAAAAGAAACAAAAGATGATACCAAAAAGGATAACAAACTATTATGTTATGCACATACTGTACATTCACTTTTCATTCAACCCTTTCATATATATATATATATATATATATATATATATATATATATATATATATATATATATATATATATATATATATATATATATATATATATATATATATATATATATATATATATATATATATATATATAGATAGATAGATAGATAGATAGATAGATAGATAGATAGATAGATAGATAGATAGATAGATAGATAGATAGATAGATATAGATAGATAGATAGATAGATATAGATAGATAGATGGAAGTAGATAGATAGATAGATGATAGATAGATAGATAGATAGATAGATAGATATATATATATATATATATATAATATATATATATATATAGTATATATATATATATATATATATATATATATATATATATATATATATATATATATATATATATATATATATATATATATATATATATATATATATATATATATATATATAGGAAACAAGAAAACATGATGTTTCCCAGTGCTTTCGTGTAATTCACATCTTCAGGGGTGAATCCAGATGATGTGATTTTTTTTTTTTTTTTTGAGGTACGAAATTATGGTACAATATTTTACCGTAATGGTACGTATGAAATATTCTTTTAGTTACTGTACAGAATTACGGTACAATGTTTTTTCTATTACGAATTGCAAAAAAAAAAATTGTGCCATACCGTAGTGACACCCTTGCTTGGGAGACATGGTTACAACAGGGATGTTTCATTGTTTGTTTAGTGCCAGCCGTCATTGTTTAAGATTAGCCTTGGTCTCCAACCAAAGATTTGAAGGTTATGATATACAGTATATGTCTCCCTAGAAAAACATGAGGCTATGAATAATTCATTCCAAGTATTAAGTAAATCTCGTTGTAAAGAAAGCCAAATGTGAAACAAGTTAACAACAGTGGTAACATACACTTACCTGTCCTTGTAGAGATGCGCAAAACTCAGTTAGCTCTTTTACACTTTCCTCTGAATATTTTTTAGGGCCTGCTGATGTGGCTCCTTCTTTGGCATCCAGAGGTGTGAGAGGTGTTAGAGGCGTTACTGGGGTAGAGGGAGTATTGACACCATCCCGCTTGCTAGCCTGCAGCTTCTGGATCTCCCGCCACAAAGTACGAATGGCATCCAACTGCATGTGCCGGAGTCGCCTCTCGCGTTCTAAAGCTTCTTCGGTGGAATGCAACTTCTCAGTTAAATGCCTGTTAAAAGTAAGACACAAAAATATGGGGTCAACACATGAAACCCCAAGAAATACTCTTGAAAGGAAAAGTTACCTGTTAAGGCTGGAGAAAAGGAGGGCAGAGAAAGGAAAGGAGGAAGGGAAGGAGGGAAAAGGAAGGCAAGAGAAATGGAGTGAAGGAAGGAGGGAAGGCTGGAAGGGAGGGAGGGAAGGAGGGAAGGACAAGGGGGTTGAGGGAGAAGGGGACAAGGAAGAGAGGGATGGTGAGTTGGCAAAGGAGGGAGGGGCAAGGGATAGAGGGTGAGGGAGAGAGGGGGAATGGGGACTGAGGGGATGGGCAAGGAGGGAACCACAAAATCCCACACTTACTCCACATCTTATCAGTATGACACCCACTGATTCACACACAAGTATAAAGAGGTCAATAAAAGGATACAAATACCATAAGAATGATGTACAGTAGTTCTAATCAAAGAAAGAAAAATGTTCTTACTTAATGTGTTGCTCTGCCCTTGAATGTCTGATGTCATCTCTAATCTTGGCAGCGTTTGGGTCGTGATTGCGTGTTTGGTATCCTCGCCAGTGTTTTTGAAGTGTGACAGCTGCTTGGGCTTTGGTAAGATCAGAGGTACTGCTGCCACTGCTGCTATTGCTGGACCGTCTTCGGGCATCCTCTGCAGTTGCAATATTGAACATGGTTAGTATAAATATACAGTCCCAGAAATGAAAATGACTTGCAGGAAATTTAAATATTTCCAGGTCAGAATTAGATTACCTTTGAATGACTACAATATTGTTGTTTTTGAATTAAAAAGGATTGAAATTAATAAATAAATATGAATTATTATTATTACACATAAAAATCTAAAATAAAAGAATTAGTTGGTGGAGATATCTGATGATAAAATCTTTCAAGACAACAACCCCTTCAGTACAGTAAGTAAAACTATTCCAACTTACTATTATCAGAATTTCTAATTGGAGCACCATTCCTGTATTTTTCTGGATCGTAGGCATGAGAGCTATGAGTAGGATCTCTTCCTCGTTTCTCCGTCTGCTTCCTCTCCGCTGCAATGCTCTTAATTGTTTGCAGCTTGGAGACTGACATCTCAGAGTCTGTGTTATCTGAGTCAGCATCTGAATACCCATGACGTGGTGAAGCAGCTTTCTTCTTGGTTGAGTTTGGTCTTCTGCAAAAAAAAAAAAAAAAAGTTGCAGACATTATTCATGAGCATCAATTCCAAAATCCATTGTATAATAATAAAGCGAATTTCAACGCAATTTATGTTGCTCTATCAAGTGTACACAGTTACAAACAACATCTATATCTCACTGACTTAAGAGTAACAAAAAGATTACAGTACTAAGAACAATGCTGCATGCAACTCCTCATTTCATACACACTGTATACTATTCCTTGTCAATAACTCTCTCACTGGCCATTGATGCAGGTTGCAGTGCCAAGAGCCAGTGTTTTAATTAGAAAACCAATGATAGTGATGTGAGATGTGAGGCTGGTCAAATTGGTATGGGCAAATTCCTGGATCCCAGTAGTACCCTCATTTCTCAGGGAGCTGCCACAGAGACAAGCTGCCACACCCTGAGACTTGTGTTAAACCTGATACTTTACTGTATTTGGGACTCCAGTGCTTGAGAGATGCAGTTTTTTCTTCAGATTTTCACTAATGTAATATTAAGTATCTAAAATTATAGCAAAGTCCATGTTTCCTGTGGCTGTTTTACCTATGGTTTGAGTCTACCAAAATGTCAGTTTTTTCTGCTATGTTCCTAAGATGTCTGCGTATTTGTGACTCTGAATTTATTGACGATGAATTTAAACACATTCGTTCTATTGCACAGAAACTTGGGTACCCTTCTGTGTTTGTTGATCGTTGCTTTAAAAGGGCTAAAAAATCCTTTCATTCCTCTCAAACCAGACAAGTTCCTACACTTAAGAATATTTTGACTCTGCCCTATCGTGATGAATTTGTCCCGTTAGTTCGGTCCCTCAAGCTTCTAAATATTAATGTTGTTTTCAAGTATGACTCAACCATTACCAATATGTTAATAAGGAATAGCCCAAGTTTGAATGTAAATGGAAGTGTTTATTGTATTCCATGTAGCAAATGTAATTGTAATTATGTAGGTCAGACAGGAAAAACACTGCAGCTCAGAATCAAACAACATAAGTATAATATCAGAACTGCATCTGAAAGCAGTGCCTTGTTCGTTCATGTTAGGAATAATAATCACCCCATTGCTTGGGAAAAAAGCTTAGAAGTATTCAAATCATCTTGTGTCACAGAAAGACTTCTGGTTGAAGCTAGTTTGATTAAGGAATTAAAATCAATAAACCTTAGTGATGGTCAGTTCAAAACTGATAATATGTTACATAAATTTATTTGTCAGTGGCCCAAGGTTAAAAATGCTTTGAAAACCTTTGATCTTGATGTATGATAGTTATTTTGTGGGTCCCTTTTTTCTGACCTGACCTGTCTAGTCACGTCATCACCCTTCTCTTAAGCTCCTCTACGTGTGTGTTGGTGTGGGGATTAGTGGATGTCATCATTATGACCTGACCTCATGTTTTTAGGTCACCCTGTATATTTAAGCCTCTCTCTGTCCATGTAATCCAGTTGCCTCTGAAGATGTCTTGAATAAAGATGAAAGCTAAGGTACTCCGTTGTTTCCATTTTCCCGTGTGATTTTATCAAGATATATATATATATATATCATGTAAATCCACAATGAAGACGTGGCTAAGATAAATCTTGATAAAATCACACCGGAAAATGGAAACAACGGAGCACCTTAGCTTTCGTCTTTATTCAAGACATCTTCAGAGGCAACTGAAGATGTCTTGAATAAAGACGAAAGCTAAGGTGCTCCGTTGTTTCCATTTTCCCGTGTGGTTTTATCAAGATATATATATATATATATATATATATATATATATATATATATATATATATATATATATATATATATATATATATATATATATATATATATATATATATATATATATATATATATATATATATATATATATATATATATATATATATATATATATATATATATATATATATATATATAATATATATATATATATATATATATATATATATATATATATATATATATATATATATATATATACAGTGGCCCCTCGGTTAACGAACTCAATCCGTTCCAGAAGGTCGTTCGTTAACCGAAACGTTCGTTAACCGAAACCATTGTTTCAATGGGTTTTGGGTAATTGGTTCCAGCTCACCGAAAATTTCCTAAATTCAACAAAGATGGTAGAAAAGTTCACTTACTTTGAGGTGTGTATGTAGAAGGCTCCTGGATGATGATGATGATGATGATGGGATTTAGAATGGGGGTGGAGGAGAAGGAAGAAGAGAAGGCATTGGGGTGGAAGAGAAGTCACCCCATGGCGCCATTTCACCCATAAAGATTTAGCTCTCTGGTGTAACTCAAGATTATTTTCTTTAAATCAACACTGCACTGCATTATATATTGTCAATATGTAAAATATATTTCAAAATGACCAATAATTTGCTTGGAAACACAGAAAAAAAGCATTTAGTAGAAGAGAGTCTCAAGCAAGATGTTACCTCCAGTGAAAACAGAGAGAGACTAACTCCTGTTTGCTGTGTTAAGAGGCTGGATGCCGCGCATTAAACTAGTCACTTTACCTTCAATTCTGTTCAATAATTTTTAAAATGACTAAAAAATTGAATATTAAACTTTTAAAATTATTGAATAGTATAAACTTCTTGATATTTACTAAAATAGTAAGGAATTTAAGCCCTAGAACCGATTAATGTATTGGCGGACTGATACTAAAGCTGGTTGCCCGGTCAGTGCAAGCGAAAACATGTTGAGGTCGGTTCGTAAGAACTTCGTTAACCGAATTTTTTTTCGTTAACCGAATTGAAGATCCTTATGGAAGGCAGTTCGTTAATCGAAATTACGTTAACCGAGGTGTTCGTTAAACGAGGGGTCACTGTATATATATATATATATATATATATATATATATATATATATATATATATATATATATATATATATATATATATATATATATATATATATATATATATATATATATATATATATATATATATATATATATATATATATATAAATACAGTTGTACCTCTGCTTAACGCGGTTTCACTTAACGCGATTTTCATACGCTGTGCTCGCCAGAACCGAACTTTCACTTAACGCTGGTTCATATTCTTACACGCCGAGGCGGTGCGGCACGAGCGCACAAGGTCGCCCAGTCATCAAAACATTACCGAAGTTCTTCACCCGCCACAGCCGGCCCAAGTCAGTGATAGTGATAATTATAGTGAGGATATGGACTTATATGGACTTTGAGGGTTTGACAAAGAGGCCCTGCAAGCCTCTGTGGTGGATAGTGATACAATTGATAAGTGATACAGGTGAGGGCCAATAATCTGCCCTCTGCCTCGAACCAACCCCCATCCCGTGTGCCCAGCCATCTTTTCTACTAATGTAAGTGTTAAAAACCCAATAATATTATTGATATTTCATTATTAATTGTGTGTGCATACCATCATAAAGTTAAGATAATATTATTACTACAACATAGTTGTGTCAGCCAAAAGTGAGTTTGGGGTCGGGCCAGCTCTATTGGAATTAATCCCATATGTTCTGTTGATCACTTAACTATATATATATACTAGCGTTTTATTAAGACATCATCAGAGGCCCTGATGATGTCTTGAACAAAGACACCATCCAATTGTTTCCATTTTTCCTATATATATATCAATATATATATACACCTTATTATATATATATATATATATATATATATATATATATATATATATATATATATATATATATATATATATATATATATATATATATATATATATATATATATATATATATATATATATATATATAGGGTGTGTATATATATATATATATACAGCTAGACCTCGACTTCACGACTGGGACTACGACCGCTGCAGATTTTCTATTAAAAAAAAAATATTTTTTTTTTCTTCAAATGACACGATTTCTATACTAAACGTTTCCAGTTAATGTAGTCTCCATGTATAATTAGAAAATTATAGAGCCCCATGTGCATTCAGCTGACTACATTAAAGGTTAAGTGCTCAGTCACACTGTATCCATTCCTCATTATTCATTACTTTTACTGTACTGTATTTCATTGTAGATTTTTATTAAAAAAAAAAAAAAAAAAAAAAAAAAAATTATCTATGTCGGACTTACGACCTGGATTTGGCCGAAAGTCGGTAAGTTCATATATATATATATATATATATATATATATATATATATATATATATATATATATATATATATACACACTAGAACTCTTAAATCACTACTGTAATGTGATACAGGTGATTAATTTTTATCTCTTGTGTAAAATATATGACATTTATATTCAAATTATTCGTTATCTTACAAGGATTCCAGCAATGCAGATTATATTCTCCTAACTTTAGTCTGTGGTATTATATAAAATAAAAACTGTAAGCCTAAAACCACCAAACCCTGGCTGGGAGGGGGGGGGGAGGAGGGGAGGTTACGGTGACATGGTTGACAGTTGGAGCCGAAGGTTTAGTGAAAAATTTATTTGTTTATTTATGTCCTTTAGATTGCATTTTTGGTTTTTTGCTTATAAAATGTCATAGAAGTGACCGGGGAAAATATAGTTTACATTGCTGGAATTCTTATAAGATAGAGATTAATTTGAATATAAACGTCATATATTTTGCACGAGATAAAATTTTTAGTACATTAGTAAATTTTAATAATGTACATTTTTTCAACTGTATTTTTGGGTAGATTTACAAATATTTCTGGGTGTTTCTTTTTCTTCTCAGCACCAGGAGAACTCTCACTTTTATGCTTGCCAGCCATTTTAAAGGGAATTACAAACAAAAATTTTGTCAGTACACAGAACGATCACTAACGTCGGGACTTGAAAATACATAATTTAAAAAAAATTGTACGACTGAGGCGGTCGTATATCCGGGTGGTCATAAGTCGAATAGGTCAACAGGTCGTAAGTCGTGGAGTACCTGTAAATAATATTTTAAAGGTACTCAGTACATTACTAACCAACATTGAGATGTAGAATCAAGTCAATATTTCATTTAGAAATGTGTTTACCTACCTCGTTGAAGGTTCCACAGAAACAGATCTTGCATATTTTGGGGCTGGTTTGGGGGAAGGCTTTGGTCTAGGTAAAGTTGATGGTCCTGCATTTGTGCTTGGCTGCCCACTAGCAGTGCGTGCTGTGTGAGAAGGAGAGCCCCGTGCAATGTCATTGGGGACTGGACTCTTCATAGGAGAAGCTCGAGGCCGGGTGACAGATGATGACCGAGAACCATTTGGCTGAAAGGTTGCAGAATGCTGTCAAGTATTTCACAATTTTGCTGGATTACTTTCAATTGTTATGAGTGAGTGCATCACATTTCTTCATGCTTCAAGGAACAAAATTATAAAATTTAAGGGATTTTATAGAAATAACGATATTGGTCTATTATCATATTATAAAAGAAACTGTTGACAATTGTTTTTTATTCTTGCAATGTCTTACTCTTGGGGATGCCTGAGGTGTAGATGTGGGCCTAGCGGACGGAGGTGGACGCTGAGAACGTGTAATAGAATTGGACCGTGCCACACTCACAGTCTGTTGTGTATGGGCACCTGCGGAAGAACTGAGGGCCACAGTAAATGTTAGAAATCATTCTAAATTAAAACAAATTAATAATCAATGCCTGCATTAAGAGACCTGTTTCACATTCTTTTTCTTTTATAATTTCAATTAATATTACTATGGACAACTATTACTCACAGGATTTAACAACTTTCACTTCATCGGAGCTGAGAATCTTCAGTTTACTACACTGCAATGGTCAACTACTTCCTTAGATCTAATTATAGTAATTATAGTCCTGAATTAAGATTTGTGTACAAAGAGATACATGAGATTAAATTAAATCCTCCATTTACTTGAGGTATATTTCTGTGGTTTCTATGTAATGTGTCATTTTATATATATTTTTAGGCCAAATACTTGAAACATACAGTTGCATTACTGCAATGCTATAAATTACAGTAGATTCTTGATACTCCAGTGTTTGCTTTGGCCGGAAACCAACACAATCAAATTAAGACCATCAGGAGATAACTCTGGTATGAAATATTGTTATATGTACCTGCAATTGGATGGCATGATGCATCCAACACTTTTACAAATATGTGTACAATATTCTTCTTGCATTATACTCTAGTTTACTTTGTAGTAAAAGAAGAAAACCATTAGTTATCAAAAACAATTGAAAATGCAGCAAAATATGGAAACTCATCCATCCTATCTTATTGGCTGAACTAAATCACTGTGGTTAAATTCTAATAATGTACACAAAAACAGATGATAAAAATACAACTACAGTAAATCATACAATGATTTCTTCATCAGCAGTGTTTACAATTTATCATAATTCAAAATTTACTTTATCTCGGCAAGGGTAGATCCCCTATTTATTTCAATTATGGAGGTCTTACTGTAGTTTATTTGTGTCAATAAGTTTTGTTTAACTCACCCGTGACTAAGTGTTGTGCGTGTTGCCATGGCTGCCTGAAACTCTGGACTCATGATACTCTCTGGAGCAGGAACAAACTTACTTGACCCTGTGAGCTGACTGCTGTGCTCTGTAAATACCATCTCACATATTAATATTATTATTCTCGTGACTGCACAGTCTCGAGTTATCTACACATTATAAATGATATCCTGAAGAAACGGAATTGGCAAAACTGTGATAAAAAAATCTACTACAGCATCTTATTAATCAAAAGAGGACTATAACCTGGAGGTACTGTATATATAAGGTCTACTAATCTGACATAACAGTACTCCTTAAGATAGTTTTCTTAAAAGTACAGTAGATTAAAATTTCATTTTTTTTTTCCAAAATGAATATTGTACATCCAAAATATGGGAAAAAGTGTTTATTTCTTCCATTGAAAAACTGGCAAAAGGCTGTGCAATGCAGAGTCAAAAGAGGGCATGTGTGAACTACACTACTGGGGAGGAGAGGATTACACAAGAAGCTATCACAAGACTCCACTCTCTAAACATACTAATAACAAACACAATTTCACATCTGTACAACACTGGTGTGTGTGTGTGTGTATATATATATATATATATATATATATATATATATATATATATATATATATATATATATATATATATATATATATATATATATATATATATATACCTGTATATATATATATATATATATATATATATATATATATATATATATATATATATATATATATATATATATATATATATATATATATATATATATATATATATATATATATATATATATATATATATATATATATATATATATATATATATATATATATATATATATATATATATATATATATATATATATATATATATATATATATATATATATATATATATATATATAGGATCAACAAGAGTATAAAATAACCTGTTTAATACATTTCACAATGAAAAACAATGAATAGAATGAATAACCATTTCTTCAATTCTTGGAAATGAAGTGAGGTGCTTGATAACTCTGGTAGGAAGTGTAAAAAAAATCCTCTACATCCATCTCCACAGACACTTTGTACTGATAATTTAGAGAGTGAAGTGTTAACTGTGGTGTATCAAGTGACTAGCAGTGAATGCTGAGGTGATGGTACAACAGTGCAATAAAAAATGTGTACCTTGGGGACCAACGTCTTCTACCACCAAATCATTCTCGTCCCCAAAGAGGCTGGTGGGTCGTGGGTGGGTGTGGGGGAGAGGATGAGACACATGCTCCCCCCATGCCTCAGCCTCTCCATTGGTGAGATGGCCCAAGTCCAAGCTGCGTGTCATTAGGCTGCTACTAGAATCTTGATGTACTAGGCTGCGTGACAGCTGTTCTGGCCCCTGGCTCTGTGTCATGGGGTCAAACTCCATTGAATGTTTCAACTCTTCTTCTCCCATAGATTGGGTCATCGGGTCCAAACCCAGGGAACGAGACATCTGCTCAGCACCCAGACTTCGAGACATGAGATCTGTTGATCCACGAGGCGCAGTACCGGCTAGTTGAGATAAGATGGCAGGATCCATGCTCTGGGTCATGAGGCTCGGGGTGTCAGGTGTACGCAGGTCCCCCCCATACAGGGTGTTGGACAGCTCTACATGGTAAGAATGGGCTTGCTGAGATCGCGCACCAGACTCATTCCTGGTGGCTGCGGAGTGGGAGTGTGTGCGGCGGTGGCACTCGCGGGCTGGAGCTGACCGCGAGGGGGCTGTGGGGTAAGGGGAAGTAACTACTACTGGCCAAAGGGTTTTACTACAATGCTGCACAAATTAATTATGCAGAACAAAATTACACTTAGCCTATACTCTACACTGGTCTACAATAATGCCTGGTTGTTAACTCATATTATAGGTATTTATAAATGTTAATTTTTATTCACACTTCATGAAGTCCTGCATGTTACAATGCTTAAAGAGAAAACTGCATATGCTTTTAAATTACAAGACCATAATAGTCCAAAATCTTTGAAAGTTATTGCTTTTCAAATATAAAGATGCTCTCTTATGCTGCTGACGAGAGCATTATAACCAAAAGATAATAAGCCATAATCTTCTGTATATCAACACTTGCTTCAAGTCATTATGTTATGAAGATAACTTAAGGGCAATAACAAAACTAATGGTTGCATTAGTGAAAGAGTAATTGTGCTGTACAGAAATGATATCTGTCTTTCTCAGTGATGCTTATAAAACAGTGATCCCCTAACCCCCAAATATTTTTTAATTACTTCTTTTGGTAGTTAGTTGATCTTCTGACCATAAATACCTATGTAATATAAGAGACTACAAAGGGATGAGAGGTTTTATGATTTCTTTTATCTGAGGATTTACATTTTTTGGATAATAGGGGTCTGTCACCAGTCACACTAAAATTTTTCACTTGTTCTTTAACTAAATCCCAGTGAAGAATCTTCTTTCTCCTATCTTACACTTGTGCAGTAGACTTACTGTTGGTGAGTCAATACCAAATAAAAATCATATGTACAGTATTGTCCGAGTTTCACAGTCTCACACTGCTTCACAACCAATGGTGCAGTTTCTTGGTAACTTTCATATCCTCTACAAGCATGCACTTCACTTATTATGCTTAAGCACGTTACTCTTCACTTTCCAGAAAAAAGCCATTAGTGGCAATCAAAATGCCCAACCTCTTAGCATGCATTGTGGCACATGAGGTCATGACGTAGAATTTGTTCAAATTTTATACAAAGGTACTCTTTTATATGCTGATTAAGGATCTGGATTCAGAATGTAAAAATTTCATTAGTGTTAATTAAAGACTCTTGAAATAATTAAATTTACAAAACTGTACAACAGTATTTAAAACATCATTTACAGGCGTCAAAACTTTATGACTCAATCCAGTCTGAATGAAGTTATTAACACTGTTTTAAGCTGATATGCACACAGCTCTCTCTCTCCAGGAATACATCCTGAGTGAATACCTTCCTATACAGCTTATCTTTTTACCTTCACCTCGTTACAAATTACCGTATTTGCCGGCATATAAGACGCACCGCCGCATAAGACGCACCCCCATTTTACAAGGATATTTTGTGGATTTATTTTTTTTAGTATGTTTTGTCATACAATTATTGAAAGTGATTTTGTAGGGGAAAACTTATGATTTTGTGCAAGTAAATACAATATACAGTAAAGACTCCGATAACAACGGTTCGACCAACAACTTTTCATATTTAAGACCCTAGTTAATTTAGGACCCAATTCAATTTAATAACTAAATCCCGATATGTATTATAAAAAAAAATTAAAATTACTGTAAAAAAAATGAAGAGTTCCTTGTGCAAGGAAGCTGCCTGGCTAATGAGTGGTAAACAACAATCGAAGCTTGGCGGGCCTTTTGTTTTCACGCATCTGGAACAGGAACAGGAGAAAAACTTTCTCAGGTTTCTTACAGCATTTTTGCAACCCTAATCAACATGAGCAAGAGAGTAAGTGATGGTTGTGTTGTTTCAAAAGCTAAAAGAAAGTGTATAAGCTTAGCTGAGAAACTAGATGTGCTAAAATGATATGAAAAATGTGAGAGGTCTGTGGATATTATATGGAGCAAGCAATCAACACATTTTCTGAAGTGGATCCATTAATAGAACAAAGCATTAAAATTTAAATAAATGCAAATGATCTCTACATAAAGATGTATACACCTGTAATGAGAAAGAAAGCAGCTGTGCAAGGTTCTTTAGACAGCTTTATTATTCGAAGGCCTAAACCATCAACTTCAGCTACACCATCAAATTCAGTATCATAAGCAGCTTCAACATCAACTTCAGGTTCAGTAACAGTTTCAGCAACAGCTTTATGGAAAGCTACAGCTTCAGCCAGAGTTGAACCTGATAACTTTGTCATCTGAGTAAAAGCTCTCACAATATTCATTGGCAGTCCTTATGTTTTAGACTTTACCAACATTGGTGAGTAGAATTTTTGTTTTACATTCGTAAATATTACTTAAAACATATATGAACAGTAATAAGTGTTGCTTTCATATTCATATGACGATATGTTTTCACATGTACGCACTTACTGTTCATACGTTGGCATTCCAACTCGTCTCGCTTTATTTCTTTACCATTAGTGGTTAGCTACTTCTAGTGTTCCATTAATTAACATTAAATAACATTACTGTACTTAAAACATACATACAAGTACAGTATTAAATTTTTTAAAATTAAGTTCACTACAGCTACAACCAGGGTCTTATTTTCTTCAGTTTCTTATGTAGAACCATTGTCACTCACGAAAACAATGCCATATTGTCTCCTCGTGTGTTTTAATATTCCGCGTATTATTAATGAATTGCATTGTTCAATTCACATATATAAACATTAATTCAATCAAATACATATTCAGTAATAAACAATAATGAATCTTTTGTACATAGCCTTAAGATAAATGAGTATGTTTACTTGATTGCGCACGTATACCTGTACATTGGCGTTCCACTCTCAGTCACTTTTTCTTTAATATCAGTGGTTACTTCTACTGTCCATTAAATAACATTAATTAAAACATACATATTTTTTACATTAATTTTACTACAACAACAACCAGGGTCTTATTTTCTTCAGTTTCAGGTGGATAACTGACATTATGGGTGTAAACACTGACAACAATGCCGTCTCTTATCCTCTTGTGTGTTTTAATATTCTACGTATTATTAATGAATTGTAATGTTCATTTTGCATATATAAAGATGAATCCAATCATATACATATTCAGTAATAAACAATAATGAATCTTTTGTACATATTCTTAAAAAGATAAATGACACAGTATCCTTAAATGTGCACGTATATGTTGGCGTTCCCAATCCATCTCTTTTCTTTGCCAAGAGTGGTTAGCTACTTCCATTGTTCCATTTATTAACATAAAATAACATTACTTAAAATATATGCAGTATATACATTTTCTTACATTAATTTTACTACAGCTACAACCAGGGTCTTATTTTCTTAATTTTCTCGTGTAGAACTATCGTCCCGGACTCCCGGCTGTAAACACAAACGAAAACAATGGCGTCCCATCTCCTCTTGTGTGACCATATTATTATTCATTTATATTGTATAAGGTGCATTCAGAAACATTATTTAAAGATTATAGTTTGCAATTTTCATAAATTGTATTGTTTTGGGGGAAAAGAGGGTAAAAAGACACACAAATGATATGAAAAGGTCACACTTGGGAACGCATCTCATTTGTATAGTAAAATTATACTAACCCAACTCTACCTCTGATCAGAGCAGCTGTGTGGCTTGTTTATATTTTGGTCAAGAGAATTACAGGTACCAACAAGATGTGAAACTCGATTTTTGGCTGTGAGGTTTTGTGTTGCCGCAACTGGCCACCAGGGTGTAGCACCATCGCTATTGTTTTGGCGTCATCGAATTATTGCAAATGGCTGACTGGCGGTTGAACCTTCTGTTAACATTTCTTTAATCTTTCTAGGGGCATTTTTCATTTAGATAATAAACAAATGTTTCTTAAAGGTAACGCAGTCGTTAAATAATGAAAGACATGTACATGTATCTGGTGTGGGTTACGTATGCTGGGGAAGGAGGTACAGTGAGATGTTGTGAGCTTCCCTCTGCCGTTAAGCCATTATTTAAGTCTTCAGCAAATTTGCCGCAAGTTTGTGATAATAGATTGTGATAATTTGGCTTGTTTCTCAGTATTTTATTATTAGTAATATTATTAGTAACACAATTTTTTTGCTTAGTGGACTACTGTTCGTCCCAAACTCCCTAGCTAGGCACCTCCGCCTACGGAGCTCAGCCTCCCATCCGTAATACGGGCGCATTAGACGCAGGGTAATTTGTGATACATTAAAAAAAAAAGAAAAAAGCGTCTTATACGCCGTCAAATACGGTATATATTGTGTTTATTTTTTTCTATTATTGAAGATGTATATAACTATGATGACTCATGCACCATACGAGGCTGATCATATGAGAATATAATAATGAATCAATAAATAAACCTGGCGAATGCAGCAACACTCGCCCCCCCCACTACCCCCAGTGTTGATCTTTTCATAAGCCTCGTTTTAGTTTTATCCATTTCTTTAAATATGTACAGTACTCTACACTCTACACCAAGTATCCCTGTTAAAGATAATACATACTCTACATAAAAAGTTCAAGTAAATAAGTGGAGGTAGCAAGGTGCGGCACACTGAGACGATGTAAGGAGGCTGGGCTCAGACTGAGATACATGGGGCATGCCACGCAACACCATCACACAGACGTTCAACAGCACCCATGAAAACAAAAACTCTCTGGACTGATGCTGGATATTCTGGACTTTTAAATTATTTCAGTTGAATAGAGGGGCAGCCTGGAGACCTCAGAGAATCTGCATTATGGTACACAAATTTACTCTTGTAAACATACAATGTATATCTTAATTAAACCATTCAATGCAAATGGTCTGAATTTCATGTAAGCTCTCGGTACAACACTTTTGACACACAACGAGTTTCCATTCTTATATGGTACATCCACTGTTAACTACCAGAGGCAGACCATTCCATATATGGCATGTTTGCAATGACTGGAATGATTAATCTCTCTCTCTCTCTCTCTCTCTCTCTCGCATGCACGCGCACACACACGCACGCACACACACACACACACAGAACCACCTCTACTACAAGTAGGATGAGTGTGTTTCTCAAAGCAACCAAACACACCTA